AGTACCCCTAAGAAGACTATACTATAAATAATAGGGGTTTACTTGTATCAAAATTAATTAACTTACTTTTAGAGGATCGTAGAAAATATCTTCTCTTACATCGGCCAGGTTAATATTGGATGTGGAATTAGTATTATCTTCAATGACAGAAATATCAAGGTTTTCAAATTTGGCTTTTTTTATCGCACGATGGTCTTTTTTACGTAGATTTCTTTTAGAGGCCTTAGATAATAACGCAACGGGTTTATTTTGGGACGACATAGTGATTATACAACAAACAAGTAATTTTTATAAAGAAATTTTTTAAGAAAAAAAGCAAAATTGGAACGGAACTTAATATTAAAGGTGGCCCTATTTATTGGCTTATTCATTAGAGATTGCAATTTATTTTCTTGCATTTGCATTGACACGAAGCAGTATGTAATATGAATGACTCGGCATTGCGATAATTCGACACGAGTCAACTACTAATTGCTATTTGGTGTCATACAAACAAATAATTAAATTGTTTACTAAATTCGACACCACAATTATTGAACACGGCAAATCAATCAACATTCGCACGTTTTCTATATTTGGGATTATTGTACATTGTTCAATAACCTGTTAAGAGGCGCATTTGGCTACTTTAATATTTAGTTGTGAATCGCCATATGTAGTGCCGTGTGACAAACAAATTTAAAATACACATTTGATTGAAGTCATAGATAGGTTTGACTACAAAAAGAATAAATTAATTAATAGCGTATTATTTGATCTTCAACTTTGAATAAGCTATATTGCTGTGAATCGAGGATCCGGAAGTACTGCTTCCTCACATAGTATATCCAAAGTTAGAAAAAAAATATATCACGATTGTTTACTTGAATTTTTTTACGCCAACAAATTCTAACCCCCGAGAACTATTGTATTTCGCAACAGTCAGTAAAAATTTATAACGAATCATGTGATTTATATAATGAATTTTCAAGCATTAAAACTTCTACCATAAATTGATATTTTTTCCGAAACTATAAAGATGTAATTTTATTTATTATCCTAAAAAGACTCAGAAATAAAGATAAAAATACATCTAATACTTATATATTACAGAATGATTGCAATAAAAGCTATCCTCGACATATGCCAAATGGAATGAAATACCATTTATATGCTAAATATATTTTCCTAAACTTTTTTAATCCAGGTTAACTGTTTACCAGAAGGTGCGATTTTCCCATGACCATCTTTAGATAATTTAGAAGGATCTGACTGACGGCCTCCATATAGGATAAACCGACCAAGGTCAGTCTGTTCTTGCTCACTAAACATTTTTCCATCGACGTAAAGACGGGTCTGGGGGAAGACACTGCGAGAGACAGTAACAGAAACCTGACGATTACAACAAACTTTCATATCAACATAAGTAAAAATAAATGGCGCATCCGTTTTTGTCATATACTGCTGTTCATATCGTGCATCATGTGATAACCGACTAGTTCTAAAATCAAGAATATTTAAGCAAGTATCATTATTATTGAATGTTTTAGGTTTCGATTGAAACCCGATGAATGTGGGGTCCTCTGTGTAAATATCGGCCGATTCATATTTATAAGTAATTGGATTACGCGAAAGGAGATTAGGTATTTTAGTATACCCATAAGGATTGCGCTCGGCATCGTCACATTGTTCTGGATTTTTGGTCGGATTTTCTTTATTACGGTAATCAGGATCACGGGGATTAGCAGTGACAAGTTTACCTTTAGCATCACACTTAATGTTAAAGCTGGGAATATGGATGTATCCCCTGTATTCTTTTTTTCTGGCCCATTTATCAAAGTCACCACCTATGCCATTCATGTCGGAAAAGGAGGTGGGTGGATCATCATTTGCTGACAATTTTAATGCTCCACAGGCTAACTTTCTTAGGGCATAACCTTCCACTACATCATTCAACTGTTTGTCACAATAATCAAAAAAATTCGGATTATTCTTGATGTAAGAAATGGTAAGAACGTCTGGTGTTTGAAAGGTTACTGCGATTCCTCCTAACGTGTCTCGAAGCAAGAAGGTAACCAAGATGATGATAACTTTGCCAAGCATGACAGCTTTTAGATGGTTATACTGTAACAGTAAGACCAAAGAACAAAAAAGCTTAACGCGAATTTATCGATTTATTTATTTGGTTTATTTGCAATGTTATGAATTTGTTTAAATAAAAACATGTGTTATATTTGATAAAAATTTTTATTTCTCCCGAGTATTTAACAGAAA